CGATGACCCAGGTTTGTATTTCACATCTGACACTTGTCTGCTAGCATGATTATGTAATTTCTAATAGTTCTGACCTGGCACCATAAACAGAGGCGTCAACAACACTGTAGTAAATCCAAAGGTGATAATAAAAACATACAAATTGCTGAGACTGCGTTTGTCACTTGTTGATTTTACTTCTCTGAATACAAGGTGATGGATAAATGAATGTGGCCATTGGAATTATTATTTTTAAGTGTTGTTGACATGAAATGTGACATTACCAAAATATAGCTAAATAAATCAATAAATAAATACCATACATTGAATAATCAAAATGTAGTGTTAAAGGAAATGTAAAGCTTTAGAATTTTCCTTTAATGTCCAATCAGAGCAAAACTATTATTATTATCTTTTACTTGCTCATTTTACACATTTAACACATTTTATTATTATTGTATTTCATGTTTCTCAAAAACAGAAGATTACCACTTATTTCATGTCCAGGATGATTGGCTGTGTGTGTGGTTAAAGCAAAAGTATAAATATTTATATTATTTTTTGTACTTTTTACCTGTATTACGTATTAGCTTATTTGTTTACTTAATAAATACAGGATATTCTTAGCTTTCACCACTGTTTATAATTTTTAGGGTATATTGGGTACATATTACAACATGAACTAGATTTTGGTAATCTCTTTTCTTTTATCCAGGTCCACGTTGGAGGCAGTGTTGCAGTCCTGGGCGGTAAATTATACGTGTCTGGTGGTTACGACAATACGTTTGAACTGTCAGATGTGGTAGAGGCCTACGACCCGACCACCCGAACGTGGACTCTTGCGGGACGACTTCCACAGCCGACCTTCTGGCATGGCAGCGTCAGCATATTCCGCCAGTTCATGCCCCTGGTGTCCACTGCATTTGCACCTACTGACATACCTGAGTCACACGCCATTCGCTTGCACCGTCACCAGCGTCACCAAGCCCTCCACAATCTCAACAACAATCTTAACCAAAACCAGGATGTGAACCCAGCACACTGAGTTTGGACCTAGAGATCCCTGTCAGATTTTCAGTTTCAGTTCTCTTTGTGCCCTAAGTAGTTTACCTCATCACAGTGCTGAACTTGTTAGAGGCAGAAGAGAAGACTGAGCATTTGAACGAACCGTTGGAGTGGAAATGAAGCTTGTGCATGTGTGCTCAGTTCTACAATTATTGAGATTTATGGAACAGAATCAGGTGTACGTACAGCTTTATAAATCTGACAAAAAGAATGCGTATGCATGTTTCTGTGTTTGTGCGTTCATAGAGTTTTAGTTATGAATGTAGTCGTGAGTTTTATGCATCAAGCTCCTGGTGTTTCTTAGCCCCTGTTTGAGAGACAATTTCCATAAGGATTGTTTAGGGAAGTGGCTTCCTTTTATACTCTCAATCTAAGGTGGGAAAGTTAATCAAACCAAACAGTCAATCAAAAGTGGGTTCACTTACAGTGGGGAGAACAAGTATTTGATACACTGCTGATTTTGCAGGTTTTCCTACTTACAAAGCATGTAGAGGTCTGTAAATTTTATCATACGTACAATTAATTAGCATTTTATTGCATGACATAAGTATTTGATACATCAGAAAAGCATAACTTTTGCTACAGAAACCTTTGTTTGCAATTACAGAGATCATACGTTTCCTGTAGTTCTTGACCAGGTTTGCACACACTGCAGCAGGGATTTTGGCCCACTCCTCCATACAGACCTTCTCCAGATCCTTCAGGGTTTGGGGCTGTTGCTGGGTAATACAGACTTTCAGCTCCCTCCAAAGATTTTCTATTGGGTTCAGGCCTGGAGACTGGCTAGGCCACTCCAGGACCTTGAGATGCTTCTTACGGAACCACTCCTTAGTTGCCCTGGCTGTGTGTTTCGGGTCGTTGTCATGCTGGAAGACCCAGCCACAACCCATCTTCAATGCTCTTACTGAGGGAAGGAGGTTGTTGGCGAGGATCTCGCAATACATGGCCCCATCCATCCTGCCCTCAATAAGGTGCAGTCGACCTGTCCCCTTTGCAGAAAAGCATCCCCAAAGAATAATGTTTCCACCTCCATGCTTCACAGTTGTGATGGTGTTCTTGGGGTTGTACTTATCCCTTCTTCTTCCTCCAAACACGGCAAGTGGAGTTCAGACCATAAAGGTCTATCTTTGTCTCATCACACCACATGACCTTCTCCTTTTCCTCCTCTGGATCATCCAGATGGTCATTGGCAAACTTCAGACGGGCCTGGACATGCGCTGGCCTGAGCAGGGGGACCTTGTGTGCGCTGCAGGATTTAAAATCCATGACGGCGTAGTGTGTTACTAATGGTTTTCTTTGAGACTGTGGTCCCAGCTCTCTTCAGGTCATTGACCAAGTCCTGACATGTAGTTCTGGGCTGATTCCTCACCGTCCTCATGATCATTGAGGCCCCACGAGGTGAGATCTTGCATGGAGCCCCAGACCGAGGACGATTGACCATCATCTTGAACTTGTTCCATTTTCTAATAATTGTGCCAACAGTTGTTGCCTTCGCACGAAGCTGTTTGCCTATTGTCCTGTAGCCCATCCCAGCCTTGTGCAGGTCTACAAATTTATCCCTGATGTCCTTACACAGTTCTCTGGTCTTGGCCATTGTGGTGAGGTTGGAGTCTGTTTGATTGAGTGTGTGGACAGGTGTCTTTTATACAGGTAATGAGTGGAGAACAGGAGGGTTTCTTAAAGAAGACCTAACAGGTCTGTGAGAGCCAGAATTCTTACTGGTTGGTAGGTGATCAAATACTTATGTCATGGAATAAAATGCAAATTAATTATTTAAAAATCATACAATGTGATTTTCTGGATTTTTGTTTTAGATTCCGTCTCTCATATTTGAAGTGTACCTATGATAAAAAAATTACAGACCTCTACATGCTTTGTAAGTAGGAAAACCTGCAAAATCAGCAGTGTATCAAATACTTGTTCTCCCCACTGTATTCTCGGCTGTACTCGCAGCTGGACAGTTTCTCCTGGAAGGCATTCCTAGAGTTGCGCTTGGTTGTCCACGTGAAAAGTAAGAGAAATACTTGTGTGAAGAAAAACAAAAGGAAAGCTAGAGAGAGACACTGATGTCCTCTGCACCAGTTTGGATTTAGAACCAATCATAGCACTATTTCAGCTACTACATTAAGTATCCGCTTTAGACAATAAGAAACATTGTGCTGCCCTTTTTATAGATTCAAAAGCATTTGTTACTGTTGACCATCCTTTGCTCTTACAAGGGTTATGCAGTATTGGCGTTGATGGAAAGGCTCCAGAAATATTTGTTTGAGACACTTCAGTGTGTAAAGTCGGGGTGCGTCCAGTCTGGTATTTTTCCACAAGGCTCCATTTTGGCTCCTGTCCTCTTTAGCGTTTATATTAATGATTTTGTCTCTTCCTTGAGTGGCTGTCAAGTCTGATGACACTATTTTGTACTGTATTGCTGATTCTGTACAACTAGCAATTGAGTACCTACAACTTTCCTTTAATGTTCTACAAGATGCTCTATTATTCACAAGCTGGTACTTAATGCAAATGAAACAAGATTCATGCTCTTCACCAGAGTTTACAGAGAGAGATATCGGTTATGCATATATCCACAGCGAATGGATCTAACATTGAATGAGATACTGAATATAAATATCTTGGCATTTGGCTTGATGAGAAAAATACATTTAAACAATCTTGTCAGAAAATGTTGTAAAAAAAATGGCTTCTTACACAAAAACAGCTTAACCTATGATTTGTAGAAACAGGATTGTTAAGGCCGTTCTTATCAGTTTTAGATTTTGGAAAACTATAAAATTGGTGCCTTTTTCCACTCTTAAACGCCTAGACATGGTCTAGCATTGTGCACTTAGATTTATTACTGGTGATAGCTACAGTACTGATACAGTGGGTATGTCTTCTCTGGCAGAAAAGCCTTATAAACATTGCTTGAGGTCCCATGAACATGAACGGAATTTAGAAAGTAAGCCCTTTCTTTTTGTGCGCCAGATTCCTGGAATGATCAATTCAATATTCTACCAACCTATGGACAATTTAAAACCATGATCACCTGCCTCAGTGAGTTACTGTTTAAACTATTTCTTCTTTATTGTCTATTCCTCTTTATTTATCTGTGTTTGTCCTATTTATTTGAACTTTTATGTAATTCGACATCATTGCAAATGAGGGCAACCTAAGTGGTTCTCTGAGTTTAAATATAGGTTTGAATGAATGAATGAATGAATGAATGGAAGATATGAGCTTACCAGACCTCTGTAGCCTACAATTTGTAGCTCAGATCAAAAGCAAAATATTTGGTCAGAAACAGCAGTAATGTGTTTACATTCCTAAAATAATGACAATCACAAGTTATATCTAGCATTAAACAGACATATGGTGGAATAGGATGGGTTGACCGTAACCAGGAGAAACATCTTTTAATAGAAGATGTGTCTGTCATTAGATTAGAATTTCAGGTTGGTTGCAGGTGATGTTAACTTGTACCAGGTTGATCTTCTATTGCTAGTGATAATTAGGCTGCACAGCATCTCCTTGTATAACTCCTGACCCTTAACCAGGGCTACATCAGTCTTTATAACCAGTCGAATGTGCATGAAGAATTTTCTTTAAAAATTGTATTTACGGATGTTTTAATGTTTTGTAATTTTACTTATGGATATATTTGTGCTGTGGTTGCTTGAGGTGCCCCTGCTTATCAGTTGCAACAAGAAAAGTACCACTTGGTGATGGGTCGCCAATCACAACTGGAAGTGCAAAACAATCTCAATTTGTTGTCATGTAAAATGATTTTTGCTTTAATCGAAAAAATTATTTGTGAGTGTTTTTATGGTGATGTTAATGCATCAGTTTTCTTAGTTTTCATACAAGTTTGTGATGTTGAATTAGTTTTGTAAATACAGTATATTCTTAACCTTATGTACTGTGTTTGTAAAGTGTTTACAGTGTGGTTCCTATAAATGAAACTGCAGGCAGGTCTAAGAGTTTATTCTGTTGAGTCACATTTGATGAGCTGTTAGCAGGTTGCTAATATATTTCTTATAAACAATAGACAGTAGTTGCGACTGAGTGTGAGAAAACAAATTCATCAAGTTTTTTATAAAAGGATAGAGAAAGCTAATGCGGTCACATATAAAGCTGTATATTTTAACATAAAATCATTCACTTGTGTAGCGTCCTAATTCCAAATAAGGATGTTCTGATGTCTGTAAACAAACATTAAAGCTGCCCTGTGGAATTTTCTTGTCAACAAACAAAACCTACATTTACATAATTCTGACTGTGTGCATCCTTTAGGTCTAACAAACACGTTGATTGCATTTCCCTCTGCATTAAATATTTGTAAAGCAAATTTTTTAACATATTTTTATTCCTGCATTCACATACATCCATGTTTGTGTACTAGAAGTTTTCTTCACCGCCTTTGCGGTATCACTGGTGCAGTTCTTTGCGCATTATCGCCACCAAATAGCGTGAAATTCATTCAGTGTCCCTACTTTAGTTCTCTGTAGATTTGGGAACATCCATTTCAAAGCAAAAGTTTGACATTTTGGGAAATATTCTTAATTGCTTTCTTGTCGAAAGAGACCATTATCACTGTCTGACCTTCATCTGTTTGTTAAAGATAAGTCTACAACCAGCAGTCAGTTAACTTAGCTTAGCTCAAAAACTGGCCCGGCTCTGTCAAAAAATCTAAATCAAAATCTGCCCACCTGCACCTCTAAAACTCACCAATTAGCCATTTAATCTAAACAAAAACAAACAGCGGAAACTCTGGGAAGTTACTGACCATGGTCAAGAAATTGTCCAGCATGTCCATTAAATTGTCAGTTGTGTTTCTTTACACTTTTTACGGTTTTTGTATGGATTTAATGAGATGTAAAATGTTCATTTGTGATCTTTAGAAGTACTGGGAGGTGGATTTTTGTTTGTAACCCTTGCCCCCCTGCCCCCTCCTGTTCTAAGCTAAGCTAAGCGGCATCTGGCTGTAGCCTTATTTTTAACAGACAGATATGAGAGTGGTAGTGATCTTCTTGTCTAACTCGTCTACTTCCCAAAATGCTGAACTATTCCTTTAATACCTTCAATGACAAAACTGAACACCACTGAGAATCATGTATTACTGATTTTTGCTGTAGACATTTGTGCAGTAGGCACACTGATAAAAGGAGGCTTAATAAAACAAGCTAAAAAGATATATTTCACATTCAAGCAGCCATAACAAGCATGCAGTTCACTGAGTTGACTACTAAAAGCATGAGAATCTTTTGTATGTCCAGAAACTTCACAGTGGCTGACCTTGCTGCATTTTTTTTATCATAGGATTTGGCAGGCCAAACGTTTTAGGCTGTGCCTTATCATCCCTTAGGTCACATTTATCTGCTTCTTATTTAGGAAGAGGTCTTCACAGTAACCCTAATTCTAAGTGGGTGGCACAAAGTCTCTGGTCTTTCAGTCATCATGTCTTACTCTCTGATATATTCTCAACGATTCCCTCCATATCCATTGTGGACTCCTCGTACGCCTCGGTGACCAGCTGAGTTTGCTGCAAGCCTTCTGGCACAGCGGCGTCAGCGTGTCCCAGGTTCTGGTTGGACACAACCTCCTCCATCACTGCATCACTCGACTCGATCACCACCCTCACTATGCAGCTGGAACTGAGACCTCTCGCGGAGTCAGGCTCTGGGTTTGTGGATGCTTCAACGTCAGCAGTCTCTGGGGCGTAATCTGTTTCCTCAGGGATCAGTGAGGCTTCAGTTGCTTCGTTTTCACCAGGACTTTTGTCCACATCCTGCACTATCACGTTCCTCAATTTTCTCTGCCGGGGGTTGTAGTTCTCAGTGCGCTTGTGGATTTGAATGTGTCGTCGCAAGTGTGCCTGTAAGAGAAATACAGAGATGTCAGGTGGGTAATTTTACTTTTACTTCACACAAAGGCTAACATCCCTGTCCTGAAAATTGAACACCGTTGAACACTGCTTGCGCACAGTGGCCTCAGCTCTGTGTCTGCCTCAGTGGCCTAATGGATAAGGCACTGGCCTCCTAAGCCAGGGATTGTGGGTTCGAGTCCCATCTGAGGTGTGTAGCAGAGCGGCGCAGCAGAAGTGTGCTGGGCCCATAACCCAGCGGTCGATGGATTGAAACCATCCTCTGCTGTGTCTGCACTTTTACAAAGAAACTGTACGACTTTGGACTGTTTGATCTGGCAAAAGAAGGTACTACCTTATGCACACAAATCATTACATACACAAAAAGTGAGTTACACGTCCACTGAAGCCTCTGCCAAACTGAAGAGACAGCAAAATAGCAGCAGACAAAAACATCAGATTTCTGTGCAGAGATGAGGACACTAACTTTCCTCAATGAATATATGAAAAAACAAAAGGCTATATTTCCATAATCTTCTCCACATTGTTTTTCCACCATTTTAAGTTGGACTGGCGTTGGTTTAAATACGTCATCTTGTTGTGTCCGTTTGATCTGTAATGTCTTAATGGCACCTGACTGGGAAATCTGTGGCACCAGCTGTTTATCTCCACAAACCAACTCCTAATAATTAGTCAACAGTAGTGGATGGAAACATGTATTAATTCACATTTTCATTTGCAGACCAAATGAACAACAATTTGTCTGCAGCAACACAATGTATAACATCACACTGACGCTAAACCCATGCAGGCACATTCCCTTATTTTACTTCACACAAAGGCTACCTGTCCATAGAAAATTGACTCACAAAGGATTACAGTGTGAACACCGCTGAACACTGCTTGTGCACAGTGGCCTCAGCTCTGTGTCTGCCTCAGTGGCCTAATGGATAAGGCACTGGCCTCCTAAGCCAGGGATTGTGGGTTCGAGTCCCATCTGAGGTGTGTAGCAGAGTGGCGCAGCGGAAGCGTGCTGGGCCCATAACCCAGAGGTCGATGGATCGAAACCATCCTCTGCTATATTAGTAGTATTATAAAGGAACAGATTGGCTCGTTCTGCTGCATCCCTTTTTTTTTTTTAAAACTGTCCAATGTTTTAAGGGAACAATGCAAATTTGTGGAGTTATCTTAAATCTTGTATTTATAAACCCTTGTTGAGCAATTACCTTCTACAAAATAAACAATTTAAAGACATCACCTTGGACTTTAGGTAACAAGCGATATTTCATGATGATATTTCATAGAGCAAACAATTAATCAATGAAATCAGAAAATAACAGGCAGATTAAATAATTGTTAGTTGTAGCACTACTAGTGAGCCTACCTGTCGAGTGAACTTGTAGCCGCAGTCTATACACTCAAACTTCCTCATGCCCTTATGTCGACGCAGATGAACACGAAGTTGCTCCCTCGCTGGTGAAGGATAAAACCACAAGGATAATCACATTAGCAAGTCTTTAACTCTGTGCTTATTAGGGCACAAAACATTAATTGTTTATTCATAATGAAAGTAAACTGGGCCCATATAGTGTTTAATCAGCATGGCAGGTCTTACCTTTGAAGGTTTTGCCACATATATGACAACAGTGAGGACGGCCTTCCTCATGCTTGCTGGCCTTGTGGCGGACGAGGGCGCCTTTCTCTGTGAAGCGCTGCTCACAAACATCACAGCTGAAAGGACGCTCACCTGTGTGCGTCCGGTTGTGTTTATCTAGACTGGCTGGTATTAAAAAGACAGTGATTAATACAATAAACAATATGTTCTTGAGTGAAAGTTAGTAGTGTGTTCAAGGATTTATCTCGGAGTGTTTGGATTAATCCATTAATTAATCTAATCCAGGGGTTTTCAAACGGAGTAGTGCAGATGGGGCCTCAGTTTCAAATCCTCTGATCTAAGCTATTCAATACAGTTATGTTCACAGTGATGGATATGACAGCTGACCAGCGAGGATTGCCATTACCTTGTGTCCTGAAGGTTTTGCCACAGAGATGGCACTGGTATGGCCTTTCACCACTGTGTATACGCAGATGCATGTTTAGGTTGTTCTTCTGGGAGAATGCATGGCCACATAAGTTACATACAAAAGGGCGCTCATTTCTGTAAAGCGGAACAACAAGAAAAAGATTCAAACAAATAATGTCAGTTTTTATCTAAACTGATACTAAAACTCTATTTTGTTTGTATTACTTTACGGGCACATTTCCCAGAGTTGTTGGGCCCTCTTGTCTCATCAAACCAGTAAAACACTACCTGTGAATGGCTTTGATATGCATCTGCAGGCCATTTCGACTAGAGGCTCGATGGCCACACTCCTCACACACAAATGGCTTTTCGCCTCGATGTTTGGCTGCTTCATGTACACGCAGCTCTGTCCGAGTTAAGAAGGTTTTGGGGCACTGGGGACACTAAAAAAGAAAACGTTGTAACAGACTGACAACTACAGGTGAATACCTTGGATGAAAAATTGACTTGTCACAACTTAGTGAAACCTTAAGTTTAAACCATGAAATCACTATTATTTATTTACACTTACTGCATGTGGTTTGGGATAACCATGGACCTTCATCATGTGGATTGTCAAGTTTTTCTTGTACATAAACTGTTCCGGACATGTTGAACACTGAAAAATTAACCATGTCAATGAAGATATTCTTCAAAAACAAATTTTAGATTTGGTATAATTTATTGTATGGTATGTACAGTCTCTACCTTGTGGGGCATATCTCCTGTGTGGGAGATAACATGCAAACGTAGCTCTTCTTTTCCCTTGAATGTTGAGGAGCATGTCAGGCAGGTGTATGTCTGTAATTTTAACACAGCATAAACAGTGATGTTAAACTTTCTTTTTCTTACTTGATATTGAAGACAGCTAACTGAATTGAACATAAATGTTGCTTTCTCATCAGTACTGTTTTGTTTGTTTTTCCCTCACCTGTAGTCTTGCACAGTCTCTGATCTCATGTATCAAAAGATTCTCCTTCCTGAAGTACCTCTTTCCACATTTAAGGCAACCAAATGGCCTCTCCCCTGTATGCCGCCTATAAAAAGAACATATTAGTGGCTGTTCTTTCAACAGCAATTTGAAAGACAAATAATAAATTCATATACCTATTGTGGACTTTGAGGTAGTATTTGCTCTTGAAGGATTTGTCACAGATGGGACACTGCACAGAGTCCTTCTTGGAGTCTCCTTCCACAGCCTCACCATTCTCATTTTCATCTGTTTTATTCTGGGCCTTGCGCCTTCGTGCTGTTGACGTCGATGGGGCTAAGGAACTGGGCTCTGCAATGGGCATGTACTCCTCATCTGTGTCTTCAGTTATCCCCTCAAAATCCCCCACATCATCGTCGTCGTCTACTTCCTCAGTTACCCGGCTAATACCATTGTCATTTACGTCCACCTGGAGGTCAGTTATCTGCAAAAAGCATAAGACAAGTTTAATAACAACCACCATTTTCATTTTTTTAAATCACCATTATCATTATTTGCACTTGCAGTTGCATGTGTAAGCAAATGCCCAATTACTGTGATACTTTTTCATTCATATACTCTACCTCGGGTTCACCAGTTGGCTGATCTGGGTTTTGCTTTTCCGCAACATTATCACTTCTTTCTCGCTCCATGTGAATAAGTAGAGCCCCCTTGCTGGCTTTTTCAGTAAAATCAGTGTGGGGGCTCTCATCAGTCACCAGTCGCCTGGGGCCCTTTACTACACGACCAGAGCGGGTGGTGGTCGTGCTGGCGATGCTAAAATTGGCTGGGGCGCTATCAAAGCTGGAGTCATCTTTTGTGATCGTAAGCAAGTTCTCTTCTTTGACCGACCCAGGAGGAGTTGTATCTGATGTAGACTTTTTGGGTCTACCTCTTTTACGCTTGAAAGGCACAGGATCCACAGAGGTGTCCTTGAATTGCTGACAGAGTGTAAGTGCCTCTGCTACACCCAGGCTGGTTGCTGCATGCTGCACCTTGTCCAGGTTGTCATGATCCAACTTCAGCTCTCCAGTGTAGACAAAGTTCAGGAGCAGCTCCAGGCCATCGTTGGGGCACTCCTGAAGGCAGAATTCCCTGCATGGTGCAGAGGTCATATTGGACTGTTGGAACAGTTCACTGAAACAGGCAAGGATGTTGCGATGGACCAGGTAGACCACCCCACCTCCCACATTCAGGGTTGCATCACAAAACCTCCCTACTGCCCTCTGCTGGTTCAGGGAGGACAGGACACGCTGAGCATGGTTGCTCTGTACTGCAGGCATCCCTCTGGTTTCACTGTAGAGCTGCATGAGACACAGGGACACAAAACTGTAGTTTAATGTAGTATTTATGTATATAAAGTGTTTATCCCTGAAGCCCTTGTACTCCCATGCACCGTGGCACTATTTGTAACCTTGAATACATAGTTTACAGTAACATTTTGACAATGTATGTAGATATGTTCCAATTAACTATTATAATTATTATCAGATGATTATTCTTTCAATTAAACAATTAAGTATTTTGTCTTTAAATGTCCAATAATAGTTTAAAAATTCTGAAATGTGAGCATTTACAGCCTTAATTTTTCTTATGTTACAGTCAAATAAAACAAGAAATTTGATGACGCCACATCAGAGCTTTAGGAGATTGTGATGAGCATATTTCACCATTTTATGGACAAAACGATTACTGAAAAAAAAACTGAATGTAAGTACATTGAGAGCCAGTAGGCACATTCCTTATGCAGTAACGTGATAAAACGGATGCTTATAAGTTGACAGCTATGAGGCTGCAAATACTTACACATAAAGTTAATTTGAAATTAATAAACCAACATTAAGTATCTGAAAAATCAACATTTTGAATAGTGTTAAATATTTAGAAGAGCTGTATATTAACTTGCATCGGCTACCTTTGTGTCAATAAAAGCTACCACATTAAACAGATAAAATATGTTGATTATTAAAATAAACTCTAAACACTGTGCAGTATATTTTCCTTGAATTATCATATTTCTTCTATTGAGACTGCTTTTCTGAACCCCTAGCTACCTACGCACCTCGACGTTTACTTCCTAGCACATATTTTAAGACGCTCCCTTAGCATGGTACTCACCGGACAGCTGCATTTTGAGACTCACATCTGCAGGATCGACGAAAGCTGAATATTTACTCTCATTTGTCGCGGAGCTGCACCCGCTTCAAATGTACTTTAAACAGTTTGAAAAGGTAGCAAAGCCGCTACATGCACCTTCTTTTCGTTTCTTGTAGGCCCCTAAAAACTGCGAGAGGATGTGACGCCGTTTACGCGACCGAACTCCGGGAAAAACATGTGTTGTCCATTATTAAACATCAACATGCACAACACTGACAATCCATCTGCTACAAGTAAAACTATAAGTGTTGGCCACATTGCGTTCTCTTAATTTTAACATTCGTGTGAATACGCTAAAACAGCGTAATAACGTCGTCGTAAATAAAAACACTCCGGGTAAAACCATAGTCGGCCATCCAGAAGCGGCGTCTGTTTGCGGATCACACATGTAAGCTAGCCTGTTAACACTGTTGTAGTTGGCCATCTCTTTCAAGTTTGCAAATTTTAAACGGTTTCCGTTTAATAAAAGGCAAGGCAAAACATATATCATATACCATATCTGTAGTTCTGCATTGTTAGTTCAACAGCTGGGGGTAAGTTTTCTCCATCTGAATGCAACATTAGCTAGCAGCTAGCTGTTAACGTTAGTTCTTTAAGAGCTGTGATAAGTGACTGTAGCCCTTGCCAAGTTTAAAATTATTGTCTTGATAGCTGGTTCCCCTTTCTGTTGTATGTATATATGTATTTATGTAGTACTTAGCCTCACATGTTGGGAAACTACCATAAAGTAAATATATAGCCAGTTTTACGCCGTAGCATGATTAGCTTGGCTTTCAACTGCTGTTGAATTGTCTTGCTGTTAATTCATGGCAGCTATGGCTGATATGTTTTGTAAATAAATACTGTTGTCGTCGAATTACATATTAGTAATTTAGTGCCATTCTTTGTTTGTTCAACTCTATGATAACTACCTAATGTTCATTTCTCTGCAGGCACCCACGTGAGTACTTATTGATTACAGAAACATGAAGGTGAACAAACCCACACAGGTTAGGGGCCACGCTAAATCTCAGAAGTGGAAGGATGTGAGGGGTAAACGGTCCAGGCCGCCTATCAGTTCCTCAGAGCTCAAGTCTAGTCCTGTCATGGCCAGAGCGATCAGGGAGCACCAGGCGTCTGTGAAGAAAAAGCCCACCCTAAAGAGATTGCAGAGTAAACCAAAGTCTGTCTCTGACTCCAAGAAAAAGACTGCTCAGTCTGGAGTGAAGAAATCTCACACTCAGGCTAATGGGAGTTCAGCGTTTACAATTGACAACGAGTCAGAGGACTCACAGGACTGGAAGGAGTATTCCCAGTCCATTCATAGGAACGGTGTGGAGACTTCAGGTTACATGGAAGATGTAAAGCCAAGTAGACTGGAGGGAGACGCTCTCCATCATTGTGCACAGAGAGATGATCGGCAAAACCATGCAGTACTTGTCATGCAGAAGAATCAGGTATGCCTCAGGATATTTTGGTAAAGATCTACCAACAACATATTTTTATGTATTTTTTATGACTGAGCATTACCTTCTCTTCTGCAGACCCTGTGTTTCCGTGGGAAGTGCTCTTTGACTTGTCTGTACGGCCGTGTAGAAGTGATGGGGTTCACCATTGAAGAAGGCCAGCAGTCATACCCACTCTTCTCCCCAGCCACACATTGTCCTCTGACCATTAGAGCACTGGAAAGCTCTGATCACACCAGAGATGACAGAACGGAGGCTTCACCCATCCTTCGAAAGTATTTGCCATCAGGTAAATAATAAGCAGCTAACCTGTTATGTTACAAGGGCGTGATGTAATTACTGTTATATTCCTTTTTGCACATTTAAGGTTAGAGGTTGTTATTTGGTGACACTATACTGAGCTGCATGTTAGGAAAAGATTGCACTGAGTGTCCCCAAACCCCTTTGAATGTGTGTTTTGCAGCATCGCGGAAGAAGTTGCTAAAAAGGATTATGCCAAGCTCGTCCATCATTCTGCTGGAGCCAATGGAGACGCCTCTGACTCGTTTTCTGTCAAGCTTCACAGATCTTACTGAATTATTCAGCCCCCCAATGGTAAGCTGACTGAGAGACTACTGTTAGTATTCATCTAATGGATTACAACTGGAATCAGGAGATGATTATTTGTAGTTTAATGTTTAGGTAATTTTGAGAGGTCAGTCTTGCACATGTCTAACAGAAGCTTCTTACCGCTTGTTTGTAGAGTGAACTCATGTCAGCTGTTCTTGACACTCCACTCAATGGTTTGGGTATGATTCCCCTGGTCAGCGCCATTGAGGGTCTGAAAATGCCAAAAAGCTACAGCGATGCTCTTAACACAGTGGTCAGTGCCTGCAGAGGTATGCTCCTTTTAGACAATCACCTTGTTAAATAAATGTAAAGGCAATTTTACATATCAGCAAAAGGCACAGGGAGACATTAAACACGTTTTCTTTTGCCTGATTATTATCACTGTGATACACTCCTCAGAAAGTATGTGAGCAATTAGAAATGAATTGAGAGTCCTAATTTAACATTTTAGACATTATAAAAAAGTCAGAATTCAGTATCTAATTTTGTAAGACTCACAATTGGTCTTGCCCTGGCAAATTATTGGACACATGTCTTTCATTCATAGGGGACATGGATGGTTGTGCAGTTATCCTTGTATGCGGTACCAAGAATGTGGGCAAGTCAACATTTATCCGCATCCTCATCAATACCTTACTAAATCAGTAAGTTCCGCATCTGGATATGTTAAATATATATTGATATTTTGTACTACTATTGGATTTGAATTTGTAGTGCATCCCATTTTAGTGGTGAAGTTGGTACTTTCATATTATGATCACTGTGTGCTATAGCATTAGTTATACTCTCTTAGTCTGTATCTTTGTTTGTGACTGTATTTCAGTTTGCTTCATCCATTGATGTAACATTTCTCTAGAGGATGTAACAGTTCATCTAGAGATGTAAAAGTAGTCAGTATGACATACAGGAAGATAGTATGTTCTAATGTATTTTGGTAGAAAACTAAGTGTGTGTGTGTGTGTGTGTGTGTCTATAGTACTAGTAGTGTCGATTATTTGGAAGGCGACCTCGGTCAAACAGAGTTCACACCTGCTGGATGCCTGTCTTTGTCGACTGTCAGAGAACCACTTCTGGGTATGTTTTCATCCTTTTATTTAATTTATTTTTTTATCTCCCCTTAAACATCTTAGTATTTAATCGTGGATCAATCTTTACTTGACTGCATAGATTTTTAGTTGTGATGTGATATGGGGTTTGTATTTATTGCATTTTAATGCACTATATTGTGTCCCAGCATTTAAAGAACCTATATCACTCTTTCAAATACAGTTTTAAACACAGTTCATGGCATCCTTTTAGTAGATATTTTAAGTGTATTCAGTGTGCCTTCCAGTACCTGTAACGATCACTAATTAATATTTTATCTATTTGTTTAATCTGTACAAATGTAACTATAACTTATAACTACTATACAACAGTTTTAGACATGTGTTATTCCTGTACTATTTGTGTAAAATGGGATTAGAAGACTTATGTTGAGTTATTTTTCAGGTCCTCCTTTCACACACCAGTTCACACCGGACCACATGATCTACTATGGTCATTCGTCATGCGAGTCTGACTTAGACCGCTACCTGGAATCCCTTAAGTCCTTGTGGCGCAGACGCTCCAAGAGCCGAGAGACTCCTGTTATTATCAACACCATGGGCTGGGTCAAAGGTCAGCTCAGGCTACCCTCTGTGACAGTAGAAAAAGATTATAAAGAACTTTCATTACACTAATTGTAAACAGTGTCTGAACATGTGCTTGTCTGGGCTGTCCACAGGATTCGGATTTCAGATGCTAGTGGACATGGTCCGCTTCTTCCCAGTCTCACATGTCGTGCAGCTCAGTCATAGTGGTATCATGCAGTGTCCCGCCCTCACTCCAGAGTTTCTGAGGACAGCACACGGCTACCAGACACACCCACCTGCCCAGACCGCCCTGGACGAGTTTACGGAGAGCCACAGTCCCCCCAGAAGTTACACTCACCTTATTGTACAATCAGAGTTTCAAGGAGTGGGGCGCCAAGGAACAGCGTAAGTACACCACCACCACTATGTTGGCATAAACATATACAAACTTTCAGTATTAAATCATTATTTGTGGGTGCATTGTATTCGACAGGAAACACCAGCGCACTAATGAGCTCAGAGAGCTGTCATTGCTGGCCTATTTGAGTCAGCTGCAGTCTTCTGACCCTGGACCAGTTAGACCTCTACACAGCCTCACCCCATACCAGGTATATGGAAATCATGATGTTGCTATTCTTGACAGGACCTCTAGTTTTTTTTATTACCTTGGAAAATTGTGGCCAAAGTTTAAACTTATTTATTATGACTCAGACTTTACAAGGTTATAGTGATTTGTGGCCCAGTAAAAAGAAGAAAAGAACACATCACATGTTCGGTATCTGCTTGTCCCAGCATTTTAAAGTAGTCATTTTAGGTAATATGCATGTTTGCTTACATGCTGAGAGTTAAATGAGAAGCGGGAAGATGACTGTACAGATTAGGGGTGGAAGAAATAATCGATTCTTAGATGCATCGCGATGCGAACGTGGCAGATTATGAATTGATTAACAAATGTCCAAAAATCAATTATTTAAATGTTAATTGATAACGTAATGTTGACGGAACGCAAAAGGCGGAGCTCGCGAAAGTGCAGCGCCAGTGGCGCGCACATAACAGAGACAAGTGTTCCTCCTGTATTCGACACACCACCGCAGTGTGTGAGCCCAAGCGAGCGAGTGAGAGAGAGCGAGCGGCAGAACGTGACGCTGAACGTTAGTGGAAAAATATATTAGCGGTAAGTTTCAGTCTGGTAGTAAAGATCGCACCCCCTGCTGAGAGAGAGCATCCCCCCTCCAGGGGAGTTTCCACGGCTGCCCCGCCAGCAACAGCTAGAGACAGGGAAACCAGTATGCACTGGTGTGCTCCGGGGCCACCAGAGTCACCGCCAAGGTTGAAAACTGCAGGCGATCCAGAAGGCGTGGGATTAGCCGCACCGGTAGAAAAGCATATAGCAGCTGGGGAGGCCAAAGGGGGTGCGCTAAGACGTCCACTCCCAGTGGGGGGACGTCCCGTGGGCTCAGTGAAAACCAAAGGGCGCACTGAGCGTTCTCCTTGATGGCCTAACCGGAGCCAGATCTGGTCACCAGATCGGGATGGAGGTGCCACTGGTCTGGCCAAGGGCCCTCCCTCGACATGGTGTCCGCCCCTCCGTACAGCACGCCAGGGATGTGTTCTGCTCTGATGGAGAGCTAGTGAGTGTGCGCCCACAGGAGCAGCCGCCTGGCCAGACCCAACGGCTGCACCGATCGCACCCCACCCTGGCGGTTTATGTAGGCCCACGCGGTCCTGTAGTCGGTGCGGAACAGCAGGTGCTGATCCCACAGCAGAGGGAAGAATGTCGGATCCCCTTCCACACCGTGAGGAGCTCCAGCACGTTTATGTGGAGAGGCCTGCGGCCCTGCCACAGACCGCCCACCCCCTGAGAAAGGCAGGTCCTGCCCCAGCCCATCAGGGAGGCGTCTGTGAAGACAGAGATATGGGATGTGACCCTGCCCAGGGGAACCCTGACCGAAGAGAAAGGGGGTCCCGCCAGTAGGCCAGATCAGGGGCCTCTGTCTCACCGGGTCGACACGCAGGTGGATGAACCAGCGCTGCGGCCTCCTCATATGGAGGAGGCCCAGGGGGACCACCACGTGAGCCGCCAACATGAGGCCCAGAAGCCTCATGACCGATAGAGCTGCTGTGGCAAAACAAGCACACAAAAAATTATTATGTAATTACTTACTAATAGCGAACCCATGGAGTCAAATGACACCTCCATGGCTCTGTGTAAATCTGTACCAGCTGTTGGTCGGCCTTCACCAAAAGTCTCCTGGTGTTTTGTTTCTTGGTGTTGTTTAATACCAAGAAAAGGGGTTTATAAGGTGTAATATTTACAAAATATAAGCCTACAGCTTGCAATAAATTAAGTGTTTTCAACATAGGCCTATACTGGCAGGCCGGACAGGTACAGTTCCACGTGCCAAAGCATATTTGGCAACCCACTTTAGCATTTTGTAGAGAAACGGTGAGGGAGAGGTTATCTGGTATTATGTCAACGGACACGCAGGTAATGTTACATTATGGAGCAACAGTGAACGCACCACTGCAGATGTCACTCACTAACGTTAAGTTTCAGTTTCGATCCACATACGGCGCACTTGAAAACTGAATCTCGGGTGACTTTATAAAACGTACTGCTGATCAGCAGAGACACATAAAGGGTGAGAAAGAGGCAGAAAGAGGCGGAGCCAGCCTGCGTGTTTGCCGTGAGAGACCAGAGGTGCAGGCTAGGTCTGTGTGAGTGTGGGGAGAAGAGCAGAGGAGCAGATTCAAGTAAATAAACACTAAACTATATAGTGGAAAATTACCTACTGTTAATACAAACAGCCTACAATATACACCGCTACCGAGCCCACCGGCCGCCGCCGCCACAGGTGTACTGTCTTAATGAGCGGGTGTGTCGCGGTTCTGTCTTTCGGATCCGCGACACGAGATCATGGACTTTTGTGTCAGGATTTTGGTCTCTGTTTAAAAACCATTACAGCCCTACTACTAAGTAGTCTGCCTACTGTTTTAAGTGAAGAAAAAAATGTTTATAGACTTTTGTATAAATTATCTATTGTGTTATCACGATTTTTTGAAATGTGCAAATCAAAGTTTTTTTGACAACCTCAAAACAGCTTTGGGCATCCCCTGTGATTTCTGGCGCCCCCCATGTTGGGAACCACTGCTTTAAAAGATCTACTAAAAATCCAGCTCTTTACCAAGGCATTCAGTCCTGAATTACTGGTGTACAGCTCTGTCCTGTATACATACTGTAGGCTATATCCTGATAAGTAACTTTATATTTCGGAGTCTGGATGTTAAAGAAATGAAGGACCACAGAGCTGAGATTAATAAAGTAAATTAGGGATGCAAACTAGTCCTAAAGCTAATAAGGAGATGTTTCTTTTGGATTTTAATGTGCAAATGAAATGCTTAGTAATTATCCAGGGATTCTGTATAGAAAAAATTATGCATCAAGATGCATCGATAATCGTTTTATAACTGAATCGCAGCCCTCTGAATCGTAATCGAATTGTGAGGTGCCCAAAGATTCCCACCCCTAGTACTGATATGAAGCTGGAGCCTGGATGGGATTAGCTGAGCTTAAATATTGGACATTTTTTACTTGTCACTGCTCCCATCTTAGAAATAGCTCCAACATATAACTCCCCAGCTGTTTAAACCACTGGATTAAACATCTGAGAAATGACATGTTGATAAGTACCTAACCATTCTACCTCTGGTCTGTAGGTGCCCCACACAGCAGTTGCTTTAGGTGTGATCCATTGCGAGGTAGTGCCCAGCCACATGTTTTATGCTGCCAATGCCAGTCTGGTGGGACTCTGCTGCCTGGGAGAGAAAGTAACAAGCAGGGGAGGCCCTGTCCTGCTGTCGCAGGCACCCATCTGCCCATGTGTGGGCTTTGGTATGCATCCTGCCTAACCTTTGTACGAATGGTCAAATTAACATGTAGAATGACCATTGAACTGTTTATGTTTATATAGGTATGTATTTATACATACACATGTATATACATTGTGTTTGCCTACATGTAATTCACATAGAAATGTATAGTATGTTGTCCTACATAGTGATGTTTGGGGTAAGTTAAATCTCACAGACTAATTTTTCCATTACCAGCTCAGCTCGACTCTACTCGTTTTGGCCGTGCTCCGTTTTCCATTGCAGATAGTACCCAGAGATAGTATCAATGTAGCTGATTGTCATTGCGACGCCACACAAAACTGCCGCAATGTAATTTTCAATGCGACACACACACCAGCGACCCACACACGTCTGTCTCTTGTTGAAAGTTTTTAACTTAAATCATTACTTAGAATGTAAAGACAGATAAGTGGTATGAAAACCTCACAGCTTCCTCTGCCGTTGTTGCTGCAGCGGTCTGTGTCACAGTGGGACCAGAGGGCTCTGAGCGGGCGGCTGGACAGCCTCGTGAGCTCCTCCCCGCGGGTTTGCGCAGGCTTCCCCTCCCGCCACTTGCGGAGCTCCTCAACTACGAAAACTTTCAAGCACATTTTTGTTCCGCCATCACTTCTCATGAAATTATCAATATTCAAAATCTACACAGCTGATTTCTTACCTCAAAACTTCTCAGAAGTGTATTTAGTGATGAAATAACATATGAAAACTGTAAAATATAAAACTTTCTGTTGCTGGCCTCTGTCAGGCCCACGCAATGATGACGCAGTGAATAGTGACGATTCTCTCTGACCAATCAGTAGTCTGCCGTGTTTTCACGTCACATTTTAGTATCGTCTCAGTTCGCTTGGAACCTTGACGGAGGTGATACAAAAAAAAGGAACCTGGAAGGCAGGTACAGGTGCAACTTTTCCACAATGGAAAACCAAAAAAAGACGAGTCGAGTTGAGTTGAGCTGGTACCGTGCAGTGGAAAAGGGGCTTAAATCTAAATCCCTGTCAGACCTCTGATAAACAAACTTGTTGCTGACATCACTTAAAAATCATGTTTATGTAAGTAATTCTCAAAAACTTTGTATCATGGTAATAAAAACTTTTAACGAGGGCCTAGGGTCTCCAGGAACCTGAAACAGAACATGTGATTGCTGTTAGTTATAAATTGAAGGTTATTTACATGTTAATGTGTTCCAGGTGTGCTTCGAGGTATTGATACGGAGCGAGGGCTGTACTTTCTGCTGACGCCTGTAGATCCCTCGATCCTTCGTAAGGTCAACTGTCTCCTCTTGGGAGCGATATCACTGCCCTCCTGCATCCTCACAACACAGGTCAGAAGACAGTTCTGTTCTTTCATACACAATGCACTTAAAAGGACAGTATTTTCCTCGCTGTAGCACATAGTGATACATAAACATCCGTCCAGAGCTTACTTTCACCATAACTCATGGTGTCTTTGTTTTTGTTTCAGCCTGGCTTTGAAGGAGAGATGCCCTATGTCACAACAGACTACAGTTTTGATCTCTCTGGTGCAGGAAAGATGCGAGTCTTCAAGGGACTGATGAGACCAAGTCACATAGGGATGTAATGACATTTTCTACACAGCATCTGCTTATTGCCCTTTACTCTTTTTGACCTGTGTCTCATGCCAAACCAATCACTTTTGGCCTTTGAATGTACAGAACAGCGTGTGAGGCAGACAGTTTTTTTAAATTTCACGATTCAGTTTTGACAGAGCAGCCAGGCTTACAGACTCTGCAGGAAGACATGGCTGCCTTCCTGTTACTGCACTTCCTGACTGAAAACTGGGTGTTCTCACCATGTCTTACAACCCCCTACTGTACGTACTCTTGATGGCGCTGTAAAGAAGTTTGTGTTTTCTGTCACATGGACAATAAGATCACACTTTGTAGTTGAAGCTCTTGTTTGATGTCTCTTATTTGTAGATTGCATTCCAAAGCTGCAAATCAATACAAAACCCGCCAGATATTAAATGAGAAACAACTTTGGTTCAGATGTTGTGCTTTTCTTGCTTTCAATAGTATTTTTGACCAATCTTGATATTTCTTTCACAATCATAGCCATGCATCCATATAGATTTCAACTAGGCAAGAGCCATTTAACCACATTTTATCACAGTATGCGGTATAGTCCCTGATTCAGACAGTACTTTGTTCATTTGTATTATTGAATAAAATGCACACTGCTAAGACTTTTCATATTTATACTTAAAATCTTACATTCACTAAAAGAACAGGATTTTGTCAGTGTTGTTTTTATGCTGGTCAAAGGTTTTACTGAAATGGCTCTATTTTTTGTTATTGCTGACTAACTCTGCATTAACTGTTGCACATTTAGTATTGTGTTAAAGGGACACAATAGTGTTGCTATACTTTCAAGACGTTTTGTCAATGCAACATGTTTACAATTTTTTATGTAGGCCTATGTGGTATATAAGAAATCAAATAAAAAGATTTCTTTTTTGGTGCTACCTTCTGGACCTCAGGGGGGCAGCAAATGTATGTTAAGATTTTGCTCTGAACAGCAGATGTTCTGTTACAAAAGTCTCAAGGGCAGGAAAACTGCAATAAAAACAGTCAAGACACTGGCCTCTAATACTGAATAACTTTAAGGTTTTATAATGGTTTTAAAAGCAAATCCAGATGAATCTAAGAAATTACAGTCCCGATCTGAATGACTTGGAACTGTATGTGAATCGACCTTTAAATTATCTGACTGGAAGAATTGAAGGAGGACTTGGTTGTAAACATCCACTCAGGCAGTGAAGAATTGCTAATTTGTTAAGTGGGCTGTTTTAACATCCCCTCTCTGCCCCCTTGCTTTTCTTTGTTCGCCGTTCCCCGCCTCTTTATTGAGGGTCGGAGCATACAAACACAACACCGCTACATTTTGGCAGAGTCTTTGTTTTGGCTTTGTCAGGTCAGATGTTTTCCCATAGACCTCATGCAAACCAAAGACAAATCCCACTGTAGAGGTGCCAATAGGCAGTCGTCATGAACCTGTGTGATCAGAAATAACACTGAAATGCATTCCAATGCAGACTACAAATTTAAATTTATTTTAGAACAAGCAAGCAAAAAACAGACTTAGAGTGAAATATATCGTTCCTTAACTCTTTGGATTCATTTGATGCTGCTGCCATGTATTTGCAAACTTCAAAGGAAAGCTTAAGAGTATGTTAAACATACCTGGCATCAAAGTTTGAAAGAGAAAGCATGCATGTAAATCGAATAGAGCATTGCATGCTTTCTGCGTTGCATGCGTTGTTACCCCTAGCACTGCTCAAAAAGGATTGGAACTGAAATGATTAGTTGATTAATTGATTGATAAAAAAATATTAAAACTATTTTGATAAAGTAGCAGCAGTTTTTCCAAGCAAAAATTCCAAACGTTCTCTACCATACAGCTGTTTTTACCAGGGCTATATTTTAAATATTCTTCACATGCTATCAGTCATCTGTTTAAAGTCTTGAACATCATCCAGAAAAGTATTCCAGATACCTGCCAACAGGCAAAGTCATATAGAAACCTTTGTTGTGTGCCTGTACTTAAACCATATTTTAATCATAGACCTTGTGTTGGCAATAAATGCTTGATTTCTCTCATATCTGTCCCAAAAAAACAGTGCATCTGTTGAGAGCAAAGACAATTGAATCAAGTAACATTGCAAAGGCAATGTACTTGTTAAACCTCTCCAATCCCCTATGTTCAGTGAATAAGAGAGAAGACCCCACATATTTAACAGGCTATTTCGTGATACGGTTTGATTTTTGACGCCACACAAACATAACATAATATCACAATGGCTCGATGTCTTAAGGGTCCTCAGGACAAAAATTAGCTGCTGGGTCCCTTAAGACAGGTGATATTAAGTCATGCATATTTCCAGGTTCCCAACATAAAGCAGTAAAGCATTATTTCCAGAGACAAGTGGAATGCCATTAGCTAACCTGTATATTATGATTGATGGTCAACTGTTTTGGACTGGAACATCCACTACATGGGAGCCAAGAGTACATCTGAGTTTAGAATAATGATGGTGACTCTGCCCTGCTATTTATTTGGCTTGGAGAAGTTTACACTAGCAGCTCCAGCCAAACTAGTGTAAGATAGCATTTTTCAAAGTCATTGGTTATCCCTCATACTTCAATCCCTTTCTCTTTGTTTGAAAATACAAACATTGAAGCATAAGTCTAACTTTTTTCTTGTCCAAGTATTTTATTTTCTAAACATCCAAAGGTTATAGAGTAAATAACACACTAAGGTTATTTACAGTTAAAACAATAGGCCTACTGTAAGTTACTGATGCTAATTAGCGCCATAGCTACCACAAGTTAATTATCATGTCTGGTAAGTTAGGTTGCTGACTCTTTGCCTGAGTTGCTTTAGCATCAGTATTTTAGCGTTATATCATGTACAATGTGTGCATTTTTAAAACAGGTTTTCCATTTTTAAAATAAAACCTGAAGCAGTTTTCAACCAAAATGTTACTGTTTACGTTAGCATTAGCTAAGATCTGCTAGCAACGGTTGTCATTTCAGTCAAGAAATTTTGTCAGCTGGCAGCAATGAGAAGCTGATTTTGTTCATGTGCATGTTAAATTGGAAAAACAATTAGCTAAAACTACTAATTTTGAGTGATGAATCTGCCATGTTATCACTGTAACAAACCGCTATGTGCTCCTCAATACAAGCCTGATAGGCATGGCAACAATAACTTATATGCTTTGCCAGGTAACTTCAACTTAACTTGGGTAACTTAACGTTAACATTAAGGCAATGTCATAAAAGACCTCACCCCCTTTAAGGTGGAATGAAGACATATGGTAATTGGATAACGTGTTCACTCTTTTAGACTATTATCAGCTGTCAGGTTGTATCAGCAGGACAGAAATCTAAACCATCTTTAGTCAAAATCACCCAGAGACTGAACGCACCTCTGGTCTGTGCGTGGCTGCTGTTGTTGAATGAATATGTTGTTGATGTCTCTGGCGCCTCTAGCCGAAACATTGCGCCACTCTGCATTCAGTCTTTGTGGATCCAGGTTGTCTGAATGAATGGAGGAGAGCCGATGGTTGATCACAGTGGGCGGCGAGACGAAACAGCGGATAATGTGTGTTAAACTTCAGCAGCGCGTTGTGTAAAGTTGATAGAAGGACGTCCATCCATGGATATGCTGTTTTGAAGACCCTGAAAAGTGTTGGGGTTTTTTTTTGCCTCGTAACCCCATTCCCGCATCGATCGAGCTTCACCATACAGTCTATGACCAGCATACGTTTTCGTTGGCCGTCGAGGAGATTTCTTTTTCGTAGCAGTGTGTGCAGCCAGCAACAGGTTATTTACAGCTTAGCACGGCGACCAAGTTGCAGCTGCAACCCAGTGGTTAATAGACCGGTGCTAACTTTTCCTTGTATGAAACCGAGGGATGCTTCTGTTTTTTTGACCACTCTTTTCCGTGCGTTCACCGTGATGTGAGTTGCAGCTTTGTGCTCGCCACCGACCAGATCTCATAGGCTGAGCGAATTGCGTTTTAGAGGAGGGCGACAGCAGACATGGGTATGAGAATGACATAGGGAAGCCTGCTTATTAAACATTGCTTTGTGATTTGCATTGAGCCTGCCACCAAGACAGGAAGACCTGTGAGGTGCTGGTGTTGCTGCAGGGTTGTTTTTTCCCCCCCCAAGAAGGATTGCCTGCATAGATGGTGCCGAACAAGTGGACCATGAATTCAGTTCTGCACAAATCGCCACCAAGGAGCTGGCTTGGTCTCAGATTACGACTCAGTAAGTACGAATTCAGCTATTGATCACCCAAGCTGTTGGATCAGCATCTTAAAATGAGTCACCTGAATGCTTTGTTCTTTAAAAAACAGCTTGTGTAACACACTCTGTGACCTAAGTTGCTCTCCAAGTAGTCAGATAGGAAGGTGAACAGAGGAGCTTTCATGACTTTGATCCTCAGGCGCCAGATCTTTGTTTAATGCTTTCCTCCAGTCATCAAAGTTAATGGCTGGATTTGGCAACTGACCTGAGAAATTATCTCAGCTGGAGGCAGGGGTATTTTAGTCAGAGAGGACAGTACACTCTGATCTTCAGTTCTCTTCATGATAAAGAGTCTTGGGACAACTCAGCATAAACGCAGATGATAGATATTACCTCTTATAAATCTACAACCAACATTATTTTTTGTGCACCCCCACCATAACAGACCTGCCATCTGTCCTCCTCTCTCCTTCCCAGCTCATAATTCAGATGACAGTGAAAATTTTAATGTTTAGTTTTTTTCCAGGGCTGCAACTAACAATTGTTTTCTTAATCAAAAAGAAAATAATGCCTATTGCTCTTTCCCAGAGAGGGATGTGTTGTCCGAAAGCCCAGAGAGACTGAGTTGACAATAACATGATACTCTTTTTCATATTTAGGCCATTTTTGCTTTAAAAAAAAAAGAGACCTAAAGAATGATCAATATTGTTGCACATTAATATTCTATTAGTCTACTTATTAATTACTTGACTAATTGTTTCAACTCTGGACGTAGCAAGCTCAAGCTTTTAGCTCTCGTAGGCTTTGCGTGTGTGACGTATGCACTGCTGGCAGTTCATGGGTTCATGGGTAAGTGAAGTAAGCATGGAGTTAAAGTTTAGCAGCCTTAATTGGTTGAGTCTGGAACCCTTCAATGTTCCAGGCCACCGGAGTCTTAAGCCTGTCTTAAACACACTGGTCTAATCTGGGACCAGATGTCTTGTCTGGTCTCTGTCCACCACCGAAAAACAAAAACAAGGACAAGGAATCTCAGCTCGTTTTTATGAACTATTAGGATATTAAAGTGTTGGCCATCATAAAAGATGGCATCTGTAGAAAGGCTACATGTGCTGGCTTAAATTAATGATTTCAAGAATGTGGTTTAGTTAGTTTAGTTCATAGCCCAACACTTTATTTTCATCATTTGATGCACTGATATGTTTATGTTGGAATTTTATTGTATCATCTATTGTACAGATATAAGTCTGGTTGCAGGTTAATGCCACTGGTCAAACTATAGCCTAATCTCACCATAAGGGTCCATTCAGTAGCTGCTCTGGAGCTGGAGCTTTTGATCATGATCTTCATCAGCGGATGGCGTTTGCCCTGCTGTCCTGGAATTGTAGATTCTCAAATTTCCAATTTCTCTTAGCACTTGAAGGATTGTGTTGTCCATGTCGGTTTTTAAAGCTGAAGTTCAAAGTTCAAAGTTCATCCTTGACCTTGGAAACAGCAGTTAAGAAAAAAAGTGACTACAAGCCCCCTTTAGCAGCTGTTCTTGAGTATTTAATCATTTCACATGAGCTTCTAATTTTTAAAGAAAGCGCTCAGAAAAAGAATCAAGGAACATTTACTGAGAATACTGCTTACAAAATACTAACATTGTCGTAGATGTACAAGTGTTTTTAGACAGTAAGTGCGAAACAAAAGGTTTATTTAAGATCAAGACAACTTGTCCAGTCCTACAGATATTTTGCTTGACAAAGCAGTGTCATCACAAGGTCCATTTAGTAGCTGTTCTGGAGCTTTTGATGATATCAAATGAATGTAGGAATTAAAAGTTCTTTTTTTCATAGCACTAAAGACTACTCATTCATGTTGGCTTTAAAGATGCAGTTCAGAGGTCATTATTGAACAGCATTTGAGAAACAGTTACATCATCATCCGTTTAGTCATGTCACATGATCTTCATCAGCTGATTGAGTTTGCACAGAAAGAGCTCACGGTGGGAATCTAACAACTAGGCAAACTCCTATCTACTGATGAAGGTCATGCGATACCATTGAAAACTTCTAAATTGACCTTGGAGTGAGATTTGTGGGGGTTTTAATCTGAAAAGGCTGCAGAGCTCTGAGGGAACATTTAGAGTGTTTAGTCTTCCTCCTGCAACACTCGAGCCTGACTACACTGGTGTAATCTGTGTGCATGGTGTGTGTGTATGTGCGTGTGTGTGTGTGTTAGTGATGTTTGTCTGACTCGTGGCTTGTTACAGTTCAAACTTCCTTCTTCAGACTTTCTTTCCATTGTTCTGTTTTTTTCCCCAACAGTAATTTCCTTTCTCTTTTCCACTCTTTGCACTTCTGCCTTTTCCTGATGGTGTTCCGGGTCACAGTATCTCTGCTTTTTGCTCCTCTCTCTTGTGTCCATCTGCTCAAGAATGATTATCCCAGCTTCATGTGCAATGTTGCAACTCATGCTAATATTTTTGCACAACAACATTTATTTGTTTTATGAAGGCCCTGCACTGCATTTGATGGTGCTAGCATGCCAGGCTCTGTAATAAGTTTTTCATGGCTACAGTGATAATCATTATTGTACTCTTGGTCTTATAAACGGGATAGAGACAGCAAGTTGCCTTTTCTTGTACAACAGGAAAAACCGGTCAACCTTGCAATGCAGCTTGTTTTTTTATCTGGTTAAATATGAGTTAAAGAAAAAAAATTCCTTTGTTGTATCTCATCTTTTCTGTACTGTACTTCCTATGTGTGGATTTCACTACAATGGGGAGTTCATAAAGGTTTCATTTCATGTACCAGACGCACCAGATGCATGCATTTGAAAGAAGAAAAAGAAATTTGAACCCTCACTATTTGAAAACCTCTGTTAACAGACAGCTGAAGATGATGTTATCTTCTGGTCCAGTCCTCAAGTATTTTTTGATATAGCCTAGTGTTTTAGTAATTGCTCTTTAAATGCTCCATATTTGTATAGTGCCTTTCTAGTCTTTTCGACCACTCAAAGCGCTTTTACACTACATCTGCATTCACCATTCATTCACAAGTGCTCAAACAGAAACTAACATTCATACACATTCATACACTGGCGGAACAGCAATCAAAAATGTTCGTTCGATGAGTGTGAAGCTAGAGCAAGCAGGCGATTAGCTTACCTCAGCATAAAGACAAATAAGTCCAGCAGAAAACTTTCCATAAAACCACAATGTTTAGTGTACGGTTTGAGATACATGTTAATAAATGCGTTTACAGGTGCTGGTGTGCACATTTCTGGCTATAGCGTCACTCCTGTATTAGAGTGTTATCAACTTACTCATGTAACCCAGCAAAAAAGCAAAATACACATATTTCCCAAAATGTCAAACTATTCCCGTTAATGGCTCATTTAGCACAGGTGAATATCACAATACACAGATGTAACAGGTGTTGTTGCCTTCTATAATTCACTACAGTGTCTGTTTTGCTCTTTTCAGTCACATGTGAAGTGTTAAAACTGCTCACAGCTGGACAAAAATCGAACTAATATGGTTGAACCCTCCAGGCCCCACGTTGTAAATAGACCAACAGTGAGCTGCTCCTCTTCATACTGTGCAGAAGATAATTATAGGGGCTATGTTAAGGTCACGTACACACACATACACCTTCTTTAACATAACAGCAAATGTTTATCTCTGAATGTGTCCTTCCACATTTATAACCTCCACCCTGGCTAAATGACTGTTTATGCATATTGCAGCCTTCCACACGACAATAACTGTACTTTTAGGGAATAAGTGTTTTTGATTCCTGTTGACTCTGTTATTGGCTTCTCAACTGCAGCCCCCACTGCAATTTTAACCAGATTGTTTCAATTATGGGATTATTCATATCAACAAGTTGAAGAGTGGTTGTTTGTCCCTGTGAACTGCTGGTTTAAGGATGGACAGTTAAATTACGTGACGTTTCATACTCTTGGTGGGGTCCTGCACGCCCTCTTCTTGCAGTTCTGATGGTTGATATATCAGTGTTTGTTCTATCATCCAAAGAAAATATTAGAAGACTGTACAGTGTCAACTGGTCCACTACTTAGATCCAGACTGAAATATCTCAACAACTTTTGGACAGATTGCCATGAAATAGTACAGACATTCTTTGGTGATCGTCCCCTGACTTTTCCTGTAGCGCCACCATGAGGTTGACATTTGTGATTTTGAGTAAAACTGGTGGAGGGATTTTGATGACATTGATATCCCCCTCTGGATAAAATGCAATAACTTCGGTGAACGCCATCATCTGGTCAAATATTTTATTAGGCTTAATTATTTAATTTATTACCAATTACTTGCAAAAAGGCAGTCCCATTAGCCTCAGCTTAACTTTGTGCTTATTGCTTACTAGCTAACTTTAGCATGCTAACACACTAAACTAAGATGATGAGCATAAAGATGGTTGACCAAAAAACATTAAAGCTGTTGTAGCACTTAAACTGGTATTAAACATGCAAGGGCTGCAACTAGCAACTATTTTCATTATGGGTTAATTTGCAGTTAATGCTTTTAATTATACACTTTGGTCTATAAAGTTAGATATTACTGAACAACCACAATTCTGTCAGAAGTAAAAAATCATCACATTGGAGAAGCTTAAGCTAGCTAATGTTTGGCAATTGTTGCTTGATAAAATGACTTGAATAAGTAAGATACAAAATAGATACATTTTCTTTCGATTTTCAGTACTATAGTATACCTGCCAAACATCAGCATGTTAGCACCACTGTGCAGTACACAGTACAGCATCACAAAGTCACTAGCATGGCTGTAGCCTCTCTTGTTAGCAGCAAGAGACAGAAATACAGAATGTCTGTCTTGAAGAAGGTTTTCGAGCGGCTCTTTGACGAAACTGAAATGGATCAAAATCTTTTGCATCCTTTTAGAGGAGTCACACAGAAGTCTTGGACTGCTACTAGTCTTACTTTGCCGGGGAAGGGTTAACCTCGGCCTGTTTGATGGGCCACCTTGCTAAATATAACCTAAAACCTCCTCCACATGG